GTGACGGTGTAGTAAATTGATAGAATTTCTGGTGCTCATCTTTACCAGACTCCCCCTCTATCTTGTCTGCCTTGCACCGCTGGAGATGGGTTCACGGCCCGTGCGTTGGAGTATGAAGTGCCAACCTCTCCTTCGCAGTAATGCCCTTTTAGTTTTACGAGTTCGCTTAGTCGGTAAATGTGGTGGTTATTTTTTACCTGACTGCTAAAAAAGCATAAATTCTTGTTAGGAAGCAACCAGAGGACCTGCGGCTTTAGGTCCTCTCTCGTGGGTTCAAATCTAAACCGGATGCCTGAAGCCTTCGTAGTAACTAATGTATAGTAATATGTAAAAAGGGGAGTCACCACCAGGCACCTAAATGTATGGCTATGCACGTTAAGAAAGAGGAGAGGGAAACCTCGGTGTAATGGTCCACTTGCACATCCCCAATCAGTTATACCAGAAGGAGAGACCCAAGGGTCACAGTGATCGGTTCAGATATAAACAGTAATTTAATTGGAGGAAATTTAAATCAACATCATCCATAATATTGTAAAAGGGCCTTATGGTTTAGATCACTTAGAAAATGTTTGTAAATAATCATGCCGTGTATCTGCTTTTTGTAAAATCTACAATGAGCACCTTGTCCTCCATGACGTCACACGTAGGCCTACGTTATGGCATTGCCAATCAACGGAATTATCTCCTTTAGTGATCTACATCATCTTGATTTCAACAAAATCACTACATATACATGTATTTGTTTGGAGGGCGTGAACTCTATGCTTCAACACAGAGCTAACGCCCTTCTGGCTGTGAACAGACGACTAATTCTTGGTACGATCTGACCTATGAATAAATTTCTCTGGTTCGCGTGCTCCCACTTGAAGACAACGTTCTTTGAAGATATTTTTTTAATTGATAAGAAACATGGACTCTTGTCAAAAGTGAAACATAACATTGTGAGAAAATGAAAAGACAATCGGCAGGAAGATGGGTCAAATTAAGTTTCAATCTCGCACTTGAAAACTACTGAAGTTTGAATTTGTTTAGGATTGCATTAGGGTGGTGTTTGATATCTATGTTATGCTTAGGATAATATGTTTACAGTCTTTGAAGTATACAGCGTATTATGACCTGACTATATGGTCCTGACATGTTTGATAGCTGCAGAGGTAATCGGTTTATAGTCGGTTATTGGTCTATAAGAAATCAGTTTGACTGATGTATTACATCATTTACACGTGCCTTTAGTGTGTTGCTGCACATCGTTTACACGCAGGATGATATAAATTTTCCGTCCCAGAAAAAATGGGTAAACTGATAAAACGAGGGTATACAATCTCTGTAATGAATAACACTATTTTCGGAGAACCCTCTCCGTCCCTCTTAATCTCCCTCCGCTCTCTTTCTCTCTTTCCTCTCTCTCTCTCTCTCTCTCTCTCTCTCAGTCTCTCTCTCCTTCTCTTATCTCTTTCTCTCTTTCTTCTCTTTTCTTTCCATCCCTCCAGGCTCCATCTCTCATATCTACCTCTTATCTACAGTGTATTTATCTATAAACTAATCATTATCAGACATAAGCCGCATAATGATAGCCAAGGTAATCTTTTCTCCTCAACTTCATTTTCTAAAAAAAGTGTCATACATCGTACATGCATTAAAATGTTGTAAAGAAAAGGATTACAATGTGATGATGGAAAGGAAATATTTGAGAAATGAGATTTACGAAGACCAATCAAGCTATTTTACACACCATTCAAGGTGAAATTTATACTAATATACATTTTCATGGAAAAAACAGTAGCTACACATAAAATTGTAACGAAGGAGCATATTATAATTCCATTTAAAAACGACATTGTCACAATATTCAATCCATTGGTGAATGTCCCCCCCCCCCCCCCCATAACAGCAATGTACCACATATACCCTAAGGGGCGTTGTCTTGTTCAAACTTTATTTAAGCCAGTATAACTTGTCCATGATTATAAATATTGTGATACCATGATAATTTTGTTGGTCCGTCAAATTCCTCTTTAAATTTCCCACACTTGTTTTACAACATCAACATCTTCATCGCCTGCGTATTCTTCTTCTCCTTCTCCTTCTTCTAATACTTCTTCTTGAAAATTAACATTTACAACTTTACATTTAGAAAAATCGGGAAAAAGAAAAATGATCTTCGATGAACACTTGGGAGTCCACTTTGACTATAAAATGGGAACATTCTAATGGGATATGTTCTGCACAAGAAGGGAATTTGAGGAGTATTAGTAGTAGTAGAAGTAGTAGTATCATGGTTGTTAGTTGTTGCCATTAGTATTATAATCCTTATTATATAATTTCAAAGTCGTAGATGAACTGCTGAAAATCCCATGACATTGTTACAACTGCATTGTTATCGTCCATATAAAATTGCTTTCCAAAAGCATCTGGACCGACAGTGGTTTTTCAACACCAAGTGAGGAAATAAAATAATATGGATCTTCAAATTGTTTTTCTTATTATTATTACTTAATCATTACCTGGTTTGACATATTGCGCTGTGAAAATATCGCTCCAGATTTTTTTCTTCAAAGCATTGAAACAAAGCCTGTGATCACAATAACCTTTCATATGGTCCTAGCTAGATACCCCCGAACGTTACCCTGCTTCAGTTAAACATTAACAAACTAATTATCTATAACCCTAGCACAATCTGTAAATGAGTTTACTTTAAATGCGTAATACTAATCGGGGATCTTTTTTAATCGATGACAGTGATAGGAGAGTTACGTGATATGGAAAACCAATGGAAAAACAAACAAAGAAAATTGTTTAATCACGAGTTAAGTAAGTCAAGTGTGTTGTGATCTGGACTATTGTTTTGTAACTATGTAGGCCAGTTCAAAGATCCAACATCCCAAACCATCACACCACCGCCACCAAGACCATGCTCCTGACACCATCTTTAGGAAACCTTCTTCTTCTTTTTTTGTCGTCCCATCGGAAGAGACAATATTCTTTAATTTCAATGATATTGTTTATAATATGTTGTACAATACAAAGAAACAAAATACTGGATGAAAATGAAAAACTTGAATTGAATCGAAATGTGGTTAAAAAGTAGAGGTTGAGAGGATGATTATATTTTATAAACCTTACATAAATCTTTTCTAAATGTTAGTCTTTTAGAGAATACAAATTCGAATAGCATATTAAGGACATCGAGCATAAGGTTTATTTTAATGACATTATTGCAATCATGAAGCAGATAGTTATTGAAGGTTACATGTACTTCAAAATTGTATAAGACAATGCAAGCTTGTAGTATTGACTAGGAATCTTGTGGAAGTTTTTTAGTAAGTGACCTTCAGGGGAGCCATGCACACCGATATGATATAGCTCCTAATCTGATGATAACATGACAGTCACATGAAGAAGTCATGGCAACGGTGATCATTTTGCGTCTTGGTCGCAGAGAATGACCTATGGGTTGCTACCCGTCATGTCGCTAATCGTCACGCTTGTTTTTTGAAAACAAGACATTTTGTAATCAAAGATGCGGATCGGGGGCACCCTCCACCCCCCCCCCCCCCCCATATTGAGAAAAAAAACGTGATAACGTTGTTGTTGTTGTTTTTGTTTTTGTTTGTTTTTTTGTTGTTGTGTTTTTTTTTTGGGGGGGGGGGGTTATTTGTGGCTTTTTCCCGACTGAAGACTATCGATTGGGTTTCCGAAATTGTTATATTGAAAATTGTCACCCCCCCCCCTACCCAATTTCGGACAACCCTTAATCCAATACTAAACGTTGATTTAGTTTCCTTATACTTCCAGACACCTTTTTTTTTCTTACATTCTAAAATTAATTGATAAACAAACCCAATAATTTGACGACCAGATCGCAGTTTTATATAGCACTCTCAAGTGAATTGATAATAATTACATGTACATTCATAACCAATAAATAGCTACCTGACATTATTTTTACACCCCCCCCCCCTCCCCCACTACCTTCCCCGCTAGTCACAAACTTGGCCGTCGTCAAGACATTTGATACACGTGGTATACGCCCATTAATCGAATGGTTAAGCGATTAAGACAATACGGCTCATTCAATCAGTATCAAAGCTTCGTTAGACATTTTTCTATGAACCATAAGTATGTTCTATGAACGTGCGATTGTAACAGGATGAACTGTAAAGACTGGAATGTAAGATGAGAGATAACGATCAGATGAATCATAAACATAGATTGGTAATAAATTATTAACAAGAAGATAGACAAGAAATCAAGTTAATCAACACAAGAAGTGAGATTAGGAATGTTTATACTTATAGCGATTAGCGAGGCCAATTGAAGAAGTATGGTATACAGACATAGTCCTCATACGCATGCTCGTTTTGTAACCGATTGGTAGAAACATAAAAATCGGCCACTGTTGTTTTATCCAACGCCGACAAGCAAATACAGTTAGTCATCCAAAGACGTAATGGGATGGGATGAAAATCACCTATACATTTTTATTGAGATCATAATAATTGCATCTCCCCTGACAACCATATTTCATGAAAATCAGGAATGTTTTAAAGATATAATAACTTCAGTTCATTTTCTTTTTGCGGATCATCAAGAGCGTTCAGTCACTAAATGTTAAATTCAGAACTGGCAAGTGATGCCGATTCCATTAATACTAATTCTTCCTACTTTCTTGTTATATCATAAGGTTATCCACTGTAGATAATGATTGGGAGTTGTTATTTTTATTAAATTATAAATGCACATCGTATATAATCATAAGCAGAAGGCCTCGGGAAGATGTGAAATTAAATCAAAAAATTAAAAAGATATATTAAAGCACAAACCATACGGTTGACAGTGTATGGTTTGTTCATCTCAAACGATTGATATTATGAGGTAATGTATTATCGATTATGATGCGAGCGTACAATGTTATTATATCTATAGAAAATCAAACTTTTACGCAAATGTAAAATTGTAAACCATAATGTATTCTTATTTTTATTGCATATTTTGCACAGGTGCCTTTCTCATACCATACTTCATCTCCCTGGTATTATGTGGTGTACCTATCTTCTTCATGGAAATCTCTCTCGGTCAGCAGCTACAAACTGGTGGTATCTCCGTATGGGAAATATATCCTATTCTTAAAGGTAATTATATACCTCACTTAAGAAATCCAGCCATCTGATTGGTCGAATTACATTCATAAACTTCAACTGTTCCTGTAAAATTCTCGGTAACCATGCATAAAACATTTCAATATTTTTAATAACCATGGTTATTAAAAACAGTTGGTCAGCCTCCATGGTTACCCCATAGGTTTACATGTTAAAAAATGGTTTGAGCGATGGAGGATGCCGTATGTGTGCGAAGGATTGGTCGGTAATTTCAATACAATTGAATCTCGATCGATCTTACCGACAATTTTATCTTGCATTGTTGACATGAAGACGAAAATAAACTTCCAAAAACAAAAAAACAACATCTGCCGATAGATCTTGATCTAAGTTCGTGCCAATATGCATTGCAAAAGTAAAAGAAGAGTCCGTATATGGAGCTTTTGCGAAGCATTCATCACACGCGAAGCCGGTTTCAATCCATTTTAATGTATATATTGGAGAAAACTGCCAAGTATGTTAACGGCGGGCCATAGCCGAGTGGTCTAAGCGTTGGTTTTCGGTACACCTCTTGTTGTACGCAAGGGTTCGAATCCCGTCTTCGACAAAATGATAAATATTTTTCATTTTTCATTTTTTAGTCTATTTTTTTTCGGCATATAAAAGTATTAATGACTGCTTTAATATTCGAGAAATAGTTGTTTTCATACGCTCTCGGGAAGGTTACAATTGGGCTATTCCCCTCGGCAAGCCTCGGGGAATAGCACAATTCTAACCTTCCCTTGAGCGTAATAAAACAACTATTTCTCTCAAAGCAGTCATTAATACTATACTATTAACGCTGTCAGACTGGTACTATTGCGATTAAACATCCTTTATTCTGCTAAATGAGTTTTCCTTACCTTGAAACTTTCCGGTATTTAAATTGTAGTCAATAAAACTATCCATTAAACTTGTGATAGGAGACTAATTGCGACTCAAAGCGTTATTTCATGCTGCAGAAATGCGTACGGAAATGGAACAGTACCGGTATCAAGTCTATGAAGGATTTCATCAATTCTCAGGATAATTAAGATATAATATATATGGTTGAGTTCAATTTTTTTGCAGTTTCGTTTCTCTTCCCATTCTTTAAATGTAACCAATTTAAATTTGTATTTTTCAAAATAAGAGAAAGTTGAATTTTACACGTAGAAGTAACTTGCATATGGCCTGTCATGTCTTTGTTAACCTTGTTAGTACAAATACTATTGTTTGAATTGAAAGTCTGAAATAAATTGATTCAAACTAACTTCTTGATAACATCACTCAAAGGTGTGGGCTTTGCTGGAGCGACCATCTCGGCCATCTTGAATACGTACTACATCGTGATCGTTGCCTGGTCTCTCCTCTACTTCTTCTACTCCTTCCGTACGAAGCTCGTATGGGGAGACTGTGACAACGAGTGGAACGATTTCTTCTGTAACGATCCAATTTATCAGACGAATTGTTCGGCTCCCGATGGTTTCTTTTGCACATCTAATGGCACATTTATCAATAAGACAGAAGGAGAGTCACCGGCTCAACAATTCTGGGAGTAAGCAAATCATTTGTCTCAGATTTCTAAAACGAGAGAATCGCAATTATATATGAATTCGATTGTGAACTAAACAAATTTACCATTCCTTTAGATATTTGTTCTGTGTTTGATATTCATATTGCATAAAGCATGTTTTGCTGTGTTTTTATTCACTAAATATTTATTAAATAGAAATTTACCAGTCAAACAGTTATATTATCAAACATATCTATAACTTCGTCCAATTTGTGAACCTCTATCTTTGAAACAAGATATGTGTAACATAAGTACAGAACCGCCATGAAAGTTCTCACCAGTTGAACTCTCGTTAACCCTTGAAGGGATTTCGAAAAAAGAGAAATTGAAGACAAGTTGTCACAGAATCAATTATGAACGAGATCTTGCTTTCCTCTTGAATGTCACATCAAAATGATTACTAGTATTAGAGACAAGATTTTGTGTAATGTAACTGAACAAAGCAGATTTCTGACTAGAATCGAGTTCATATCATTCGGATTCAAATGACCAAGCTTTCTGCAAGTCCGTATGGCTGAGAATTCCAATTTATCCACAATCCTCTGTTTAACTATCCCGCCCACTGTTCATATTATATTCATTGAATTCTGACCGCATTGTTTGTAATACCAGACGTTTTTAATCAAGCCGTTGTGTATTGGTTTTCTGTTTCCATAGGAACCGAGTTTTAGGCATCAGTGATGGTATTGATAATATTGGAGGTCTAAGATGGGATCTGGTAGGATGCTTGGCGCTAGGTTGGATCCTTACATATCTTTGTATTGTGAAAGGTGTTAAACAGACAGGAAAGGTATGGATAACTTTCAATTTTTAGATAGTTGTTATGCTGCTTGATGATGATGATGATGATGATGATGATGATGATGATAGTGATTATGATGAGTGTGGCGATAGTGATAACGGTGGTGCTGTGGAGAGTACTATAAATCAAATGAATAGAATGACATTTTAATTTACAATTATCAATTGACCATTTTACTCTACGATTTATCCAGTATTGCCTTTTTTTTTTTACTTACACATTATTATCCCCTCGCCGACGAAGTCGGAGCGGATATAGTAACGCCGCCGTCCGTCCTTCCTTTCTTCCGTGTGTGCGTCCGTAACATATTTGGTTTCGATTGATAACTGCAGTAATGTTTGACGGATTTTAATGAAATTTGATATGAAGGTAAATGATATCAAAATACAGGCTAAGTTTGATTTTGGAGTACGTAGGTCAAAAGTCATAGCTCATTAAATATGCCAAAAAATACACATCTGGTTTCCGATCGATAACTTCAGTAATGTTTGACGGATTTTAATGATATTTGATATGAAGGTACATGATATCAAAATACAGGCTAAGTTCGATTTTAGAGTACGTAGGTCAAAGGTCATAGCTCATTAAATAAGCGAATCTGGTTTTCATTTCATTTGAGTAATGTTTGACAAATTTTAATGAAATTTGATATGAAGGTACGTGGTATCAAAACACAGCCTAATTTCAATTTCCGAGTATGTAGGTCAAAGGTCATAGCTCATTAAATATGCGAATCTGGTTTCTGATCCATAACTTTAGTATTGTTTGACGGATTTTAATGATATTTGATATGAAGGTTTATGGTATCAAAACACAGCCTAATTTCGAGTTTGGAGTATGTAGGTCAAAGGTCATAGCTCATTAAATATGCAAATCTGGTTTCCATTCGATAACTTGAGTAATGTTTGACAAATTTTAATGAAAATTGATATGGAGGTACATTGTATCAAAACACAGCCAAGTTCAATTTCTGAGTATGTAGGTCAAAGGTCATAGCTCATTAAATATGCGAATCTGGTTTCTGATCCATAACTTTAGTATTGTTTGACAGATTTTAATGAAATTTGATATGAAGGTTTATGGTATCAAAACACAGCCTAAGTTCGAGTTTGGAGTATGTAGGTCAAAGGTCATAGCTCATTAAATATGCGAATCTGGTTTCCATTCGATAACTTGAGTAATGTTTGACGAATTTTAATGAAATTTAATATGAAGGTACATGGTATCAAAACACATATTTACAGCCTAAGTTCGATTTTTGAGTATGTAGGTCAAAAGTAAAAGGTCATAGCTCATTAAATATGCAAAAACACCTTATTCTATATGTGAAAATGTGATTAACTTCCTTGCCTAGGAATATAATAGTATAGTCCAATGTTCTGATGTATATAGGCAATTTGTACCCTGCGAGGGGATGCTACGCTTTGCGTTGACTTGTTAATCTGCTATAGTGGTACTATCTATGGGGATTTTTCGACCATTGTTAATCCTTCAAAAATTACCTAGAATTTGAGGATGAACACTACTCTTTATCTATCTCTTATTTTGATTGTCCATTTGATTAACACTAATATTCATCTCTTTTTTCACTCTCTTTTTCAGATTGTTTATTTCACAGCTTTAATTCCCTATGTCATCCTGCTCGCACTTTTGATCCGAGGTCTAACGTTACCAGGGTCTTCTGATGGTATCTATTATTTCATCAATCCTGATTGGGACCGTCTGAAGACACCAACAGTGAGTGTGAACGCATGAATTTTGTTTTTAGAGGTTTATTCAGTGGCGTATCAAGCGGGGGGGGGGGCTGAGAAAAAAAAGTATAATTTACAAAAAAAGTGAGAAAAAAACCCTGGAAAATCATGTCATTTCAGCAACATTTGTAAGTCACTGGTATCGAATAAGAAATACACCACCTTTGAATTTTATCTGGGGGCAACTGCCCCCCCCCCCTCCCATCAGTACACCAGTGGTATCAAGCATACCATGCAGCCACCCTGCAGGCGTACGTCCCCACCGCCCCATTTTGAAGCTCCCGATCCTTAGAAAGATGAATATAACTTGCTTTTAGTTTGATCTATGTTCTACATCTTCCCCAGTTTATATATTTATGGATAAATCACTGTTGTGTGACACTGTTATTTCTATATGCAATCAAAATATTTTCTAGATATTCAACTTTAATGGTAAATGGTATAATGCTGAGTGAATATAGAAAAGATGTGGCCTTTAGTGAGAGGGAAATTGCAAACTGTTTGTATGAGAATTCAACCATTAATTTGCAACTATTAAGAATAATTAATAACTTCATTTTCAGTATAAGTACACAAAAATCGTATATCATTTTGAATTTCATAATACACTTATTTAATTTTACCCTTCCCTTTCAAATTTCTAAAAATTATTTTTCTGCAGGTTTGGATCGATGCGGCAACACAAATCTTCTTTTCATATGGTGTTGGAATAGGCTCGCTTATATCTCTTGGAAGTTACAATCCTATTAGAAATAATTCTGTTATGTAAGTATAGAATTCGATTTCAAATCTCTGAAATGCGGTTTATATATGAACACCAAAATGTTGGAAATTGTTCTCGTAAACATAAATTTTTCATCAATGTCTCCTTTGAAAGACGGTCGCTTAAAAAGCCATGCACGATGTGCCTGCTTTACAAGGCGCCTCTGCAGAATACATTCATAGCAAAATATTAGGTCGTTTGCATAATAAAATTATGTTCTTTTGTTAATGTTATAACTATACCAAATCACAAACCTAACAAAGTGAGACACAATGTTCCACATTAAACCAAAGATTCATTAACATGATATGATATTCTTTCTTTACAGTGATACTATTGTGGTAGGAGTTGTGAATGCTGGAACCAGTTTATTTGCTGGATTTGTCATCTTTGCTATCCTGGGTTTCATGGCACATGAACAAGGTGTTCCTGTGTCAGAGGTCGTAGATGAAGGTATGCAAAATACACGTTATTACTTATTAGCCAACAACATTTGATTAAAATATAACATAAGCATAGAAGAAGAAGAGGTAGTAGTAATAAAAGTACTAGTACAAATAGTAGTAGTAGTATTAACAGCAGCATGAGTAGTCGTAGTACTAGTAGTAGTACATAAAATAGTAGTAGTAGTAATAGTAGTTGTTGTAGAAGTAGTGGCATCAGCAGTAGTGGAGGAAATAGTAGTACATATAGTAGTACATGTATTAGTATTAGTAGTAGTAGTAGTAGTAGTAGTAGTAGTAGTAGTAGTAGCAGTAGCAGCATTAGTAGTAGTAGTAGTAGTAGGAGTAGTAGGAGTAGTAGTAGTAGTAGTATAGTAGTAGTATAGTAGTAGTAATAGAATAGTAGAAGTAGCAGCAGTGGTGGTTGTGGTGGCGGTGGTGGTGGCGAAAGTATAGAGTTGCAGTATCTTATGTCATTATTGTATTCCTTTTTTTAATTTCTTTAATTAAAGCTATCAGCAAATTTTGTCTTTCTTTGATCGCCTTTTTTAGACTTGTTCACGTATATTATATAATATATACGATATGAAATATATTTTATTATATCTTTATACTGCAATCTAACCAACTGATAAATTAGGTTAATAGCTAATTTTGTTTTAAATTTTGTTTTAAAGTCAAATAAACGTTTTTTAATAGAAGGTAACACTTTTTATGAGGCAGTAGAATCTGGGCAATTTTGGATAAATTTATAGTTGTGATTTCATATTATATGATGTTCTTATCTTGACATTACGTTCTTAGTATGAATAATCACGCATTGTGAGCACTCAAAACAAATACTAGGTCCACTAAAAAGGGAGGCAAATCGTTGTCCAAAAGTCAACGAAAATGATGAATTACCCTGTTTCGAGAGATATATTTGAACAGGAGCTAAGGAGAAGGGTCAACAATCAAGTTGTTTGTGTTATATAAAAGTGACAAACGTGTAAAAACTGCTTGTCAAATGCATTTCATCTTCCCGTCGTGGGGGAGTTTTTCTCCCATTTCATGTATAAAATGAGTTTTAACTTTAAAAAGTGGACATGACAAGAGGGTCATTCTACCCCCCCCCCCCTCCCTCCCACGCACACACACAAACCTACCCTCACTCACGCACATGCGGACCTACACACGCACCAAAGAGTTGCAGGCTTCAGCCTAATAACTCCTTGCACACTCCTATCGGCTATGGGGGAAATATATCTTTCTTTTTTAATAGAAAGGAATATGTTTTCAAAACCACATATTCTTTGCTGGTGCTGGTTTCATGCCCCATCCATAATAATATGATATAATACGCATGATTATTGTCTAAACAGTACAGTTTTAGAAACGGTTAAATCTTAACCTTTTTGTCACCGTGTACAATTCTTTTCTTTTCCAATTAATTTTCTGAGGCAATATTTGGGCCAATGGAAAGTATTAAACATACATACTGACACTTGCATGGAGGCAATATTGCTCTCTCAAAGATTCGAACAGCTTACCTTTAATATCGCCCTCTCCAGTTATCCGTGGGTAAATGTATTATATCGAACATTACCATTAAGTGTCCAAATTTGTTCTCCCTTTATCAATATATTTTTTTATTGTAGCGTCCGTGTAACAGACTTTGGTCTTGCCTCGTTTTATTCTTTTTTTTTGTGCCATAAAACTGGTCCGATTGAATTTGAACTCAAAGGATTGGTGTTATAATAATTATGACTAAATTTACTGAACAAAACAATACGTTTGTGTTGCGACTTTTATGACAAGATATTTGATGACGGTGAAGTTATTTGGGAAGACAAAATCGATTTCGCTGACAGACAATTTTTTCTTTTGAAATTATGGCTAGACCTAATTCATTTTTCGACAGCACTGAAAGCCTTCTTTCACCCCCCCCCCCCCCCAACCACACAAACACCTATACATATCTTTAGACTTGCATTGCATTTCTTAATATTTTGTAGTTATTAGTACGATGGAGTAGTAGTAGTGGTAGTGGTATAGTAGTATAGTAGTAGTATAGTGGTGGTGATGGTGGTGGTAGTGGTAGTAGTTGTGTAGTATTAGTAGTAATAATAGTAGAGTATAATACAGAGGTGTCATCATCATCATTAACCATTATCAGTATCAGTATTACTACTTTTATTATAACTATTATTTCTGTCTTTGTTATTAATATCATTGTTATCATATTATTATCATCATCATTAATTCATCATTATCATTACTTCGTTCTTCTTCTTCTTCTAATATTTCTTCTGCTATAATTCATATTTTGTCTATGTCTACCTTGTCTATCTATCAGGGCCCGGTTTGACGTTTGTCGCCTACCCAACAGCTGTGTATTACATGCCTGGTGCACCAGCGTGGGCCGTCATCTTCTTTGCTATGCTGATCATGCTTGGTCTCGATAGTCAGGTGGGTCCCTTGTTCGAGTTTTGTATAGACACTTCTATATTAATTAATGGATGGAGCCAGAAATCACGATGCTGGGAAAGAAAATAGGAATAGAAAAAGCCATAATAACCGTTTACCCAAAAGAATGTATTGAGCCCTGTGATAATCATTGCTAGAGAAGCTCGGTCAAAACGCATTAGTCGTGGCAATGGTGTGAATTACATCTCAAAATATAGATAAAATTTGTTGAGATGACATTTATATGGATTACAAAATACACAGAAATATGAAGTACACCCTAAAATGGGAGGAAGGTATGATCTCATAGTATTAAACTATAGTTATCTGCTGCCCTATATCTTCAACTCAAATGAAGGCACCTACATCGGTTGTCTAACTTAGCAGGCTTCATGCTTTCAATATATCCTTGGGCATAGTAATCTATGGTTGGTGTCAAATCGAGCATAGTTCTTGGGTGAAAGTTATGTACCTAAATAGCAATCCATATAATTATCTTCACAATGGAATAAAACCATTTCCGTATCGAATCCGATATCATGTATGCTTCTTTCTCACGTTTATTCCATACAAAAAAATTCAGAAATTGAGGTACTTTGTTACTGTAAGGAATCTGTGGCCATGAAATTGGAGCTTTTGCAAAAACAACAGTTATTAACATCCATTTGATCCGATATCCTTTTGAAAGAATTTTTCAAATACTGATGAAAGAGACTTTTTATTCAATCCATGAAACGAGCGCAATACAGATGCTTTATTGAACTCCTAGAGTTTGCACAATAAAAACGGAAGTATCTCTTGTTTTGAAGAGAACTATAGAAGTAAAAAATAACGGACGTATCTTTCGGAAATTCTAGTTTCTCTCCTATGTATGTCAGTATTTTAATCATCCTTCAAAATCGGATCTTGGTTCAAATGGATGTATGATTAAACATCATGTCTCACAGCATTTGCAGAAAACTCCAATTTTCATGCGCCATTTTGATGCGTCGATCACATTATTTTGCTTGTATAAAAACATCTAATGCCCGCTGCACGATAGGCGTCATTTGCCTGACGTATGACTCCGTCAGAAACCAACATGGTTTTTGACGCACCATGCATGCCAGAGTGAAAACATACAAAATTGTAATGCAATATGACGAAAGTGTTAAATTGTTGCCGTAAATTTGCATTGGGAATAACACATTTGAAAATAAATGATGCTTCTTATGCAGCGGGCATAATGATTTTCAAGGGTAGCTCTAAACCTGACAAGATATAAGGCCCGGTCCCGCGTATCAGATGTTACTTATTGTTATGATAGGTATCCCAAAATATATATTTACAAAACTCACTCACAGACAGAGAAATTCAAACGAGAAAAAAAAAAAATTTAACATACCGGTAGTATAAGCAATCATCTTTTTTGATGAATTTCCAATAATGTTTTTAAACCATATAAAATAAATTTACACACAATTATCGATAAAAAGTGACGTTTTAGTTTTGTCGGAATCACGGGACCGGGCGTTATCCAAGGATCAAAAGCGGCATGTGCGTAGACTAATACATTATGGTTCTAATACGCATGCTCCGGCGATACTTGCTGCCCAGTTACTATCCTAGATTGTAAGATGATGACGTGGAACCTAATCAAATGATTGGTTGAAAGCGTACACGTGACCAGGCATTTATTTGCCTAACGCGTAATTTGGATAATGACCGGTCATTATACAATGGTAATGATCGGTCATTATTAAAATTATGTTATAAAACATCATTTTATAAAGAATAAAAAACCATAATCTTATAAAAAAAATAATACACATCATTTTGCTGTGTATTATTTGTATACTAACCGATCACCTTCCTTAAACGCTTGGCCAAATAACCAACCTTGACCCTAACTCGAAAACCAACCCTAACTCTAACCCTTACACTAACCTTAACCTGAAACCAAAATGTAGCCCTAAATGCATATCATTTATAGCGGAAGAACACACGGAACAATTGTCGCTGGAGCAAGAGTCACCCTTATAATGGGAATTCAGGAAAGAAGCATACATGAATATCGAACTTTACGAAAATGGCCGTCGGAATTCGAATTAGATCCCTCACTCGTGATTTCTGGCTTTGCCACACTCTGCATGATAAAATACAAGGTGTTTGCAGGGATTACGCAGGACTCTGTCTGTGCTTGAATTGAGAAGAAATGAGCAATATCAAAATGGTTTGTGTGGAAAAACACCAGTTACCATGAATGTTGATTAAACCATTGCATAGCCATGCCAAAAGAAGTTATAATTGTTTATTCAATTTTTACAGTAAATGCAAAAATAAAGAAAAAATTCAAATTTATATTTTGGGGGACACCTGCGGATCTGTGCAAGCACCTTTCTTTGATGACAATTGGTTAAATATGAAAATAAACTGCTTTCTTTTGTGTGGCGTTTCTTTTTTTGTATTTTGTATTGGAACTTTTGTTTCGGGAGGGTGGATATCCAAAATTCATAAATTATAAGTGTAAATTGCACGGATAATGAAGCCTTGTATTCCTTCAATGATTTTGAACTTGTTAACTTTTTAATTTCGTTTGATATTTTCTTTTAAAAATACAGATTTCATAGAAATGATGAGCATTGGGCAAAGAGCCACCGAAGATATTTCTTCCAAAATCAAAACTATATAAAAAGACCTGACAAAAAGGATAAGAGAAATAATATACTTCACTCTTTTATACAAGATTTAATTTTAAATGAAGCACAGAGATTTTATTTAAAGTGTGCAAAGCCGACAAACACGGCCTGCCTGGGACGGCACCAGATGAATAAATGAAGCATAAAGAGATTAAATATAAATTGGGATGAATATTATTGGAATGCTTTCATTTCAAAACAATGGGAAGTTTTGGTTAGCTGGTGGGTATGGTATTAACGTATATGATAATATTATGTACATTTTTCTTCCCCTATTTTAGAGCTCTATATCTAACCAATAGCTGACTAACGCAGCGGCCGACGTAGGAGGTGAACATGTACATTGTTGGTGGTTATATTCAAGAAATAACACTAATTTTGATTATTACATCCAATAAGAAAATTGTTGCTTTGTTTTTTTAATGATCGAGTCATTTGAATCACAGAGATAGATATTTATGATTACTCACACGCTTTTGTATGTTTGCAATGTCATGTATTCGCATGCTGATGTAGCTTCGCAATATTATTATCTTCCTCGATGTCTATGTTTGCCTCTATGGCTCTCTCCCCCCCCCCCCCCCCTTCTCTCTTTCTCCCCCTCCCCCTTTACCTGTTCATTTATTTATCACCCCTCTCTATCTCTTTCTTTTCTCTCTCCCATATTTTCTTATTCACATCATCACTTTCTTTTAGATCATATTTTATTACCAGTCTAGCTACGTCTTCTGTAGGGTGTCTTCTGTTTGACCAGTACACTGAACATATCATCATTTTTTTCTGCTCTACATTTTATTTTTTAAAGAAAATAAATGACTAATTGAGCGGGTACAATTTAAGATTTATGTTTGTTCAAAATTGCTTGTAGATGGTCACCTAGATCAAGGAGTAGGCGATACTAGCTCCATCTTTACATCCCATCTCGCTATCTTGCGTAGTTCATTTTCTCTTTTTTTTCTCTCTTTTTTTTCTCTCCATTTTTCGCCATTGTAGTTTCTTTCTCAATCGCAATCAACAATTTTTATTTATCGGATATTCGCCCGTTGATATTCAAATTTGACACAATTGACTATTTAGAAGCTATGATGTTCTTTTTTGTTACCTCTTCTCGAAATTGAATATGATTTTTGTTGTTTGAATCAAAGTATTTATTCGAAGTGTCTTCCGGTAAACGCTATATTGGAATGGCGATAAAACGAAAAGAACATCCCCAACCAATTACCCGTATATGAAAGATGAACGCTAAGATCGTTTTAAAATTCTGTTAACATTCCGTGCAGGGTCCGTCTGTCTCTTTTAAAATATTTGAACATGGGGAAAAGTCATAAGTACACCAGCGTAGTCTAGGCTTGAAAACACAATCATGCGACCGTCATCTTGCTTACTTGCATTCATTAGTCATTACTAATACTTGTTCATCATGTCACCAATCATCTAGTGATTTCTTAATTCCAATTAATTTATTTATTCATTAACTTCTTCATTTATAGTTCTGTGTAGTTGAAGGACTTGCCACCTCTTTGATGGATGAGTTCCCACAATACGGCCTCCGCAAGAACCGCTCTGTCTTCCTCGCCATCTTCTGCTTCGTTGATTTCCTACTCGGTCTTCTTTGCGTAACAGAGGTAAAGAAACATTTTTGGAAATTGAAAGTTATAAGCTATGGATATATTAGTGCATTAATCAGGCTTTATGAGTCTTTCTGTGATTTGCTTGAACAGTTTGGTTTGCCAACAGAAAAGCAAAATGTTATACCATGGAAAAGAGGGTCCTCAAATTTTGTCTGAGCGAATTCACTGTATAATGATTTTGAAAACATATATGATTTCTGAACGGCGTCCATAAACTTTTTTTAAGCCGACAGAAGTTTTATTGATGGAAGAACCCCCCCCCCCCCCTCCACACACACACACACACACACTTACCTGCACACCACCAACAACAACAATACCACCACCATCTATCTTTGGATGTACCCTGATTATTCTGTGTTTGGGGATTCATTTTATGAATGCTCGTTAATTTAGTAATCATACTTTTGTTTTAAAAAAGAAAAATAATAACATGTTTCCAAACGTTCGTATTCTTTCATAAACATGCTCAAACTCATTCTTAACTTTGTTTTCTTCATGGCAGGGTGGGATGTACTTTTTCCAGTTGATGGACTCCTATGGTGCGAGCGGTATCTGCTTACTGTGGGTCGCCTTTTGGGAATGTGCGTCAGTGTCCTACGGCTACGGCATCAAGAACTTCTACAACAGGATAAGCACGAGTATTGGTTTTACCCCCGGCTGGTACTGGCCCCTATCCTGGGCCGCTCTTACCCCGGCTATCAGCATGGTAGGTCTATGTCACGCTCCCGTGTTTGTCGGCTGTGCACGATGCGTCGTTGTCTGACGTGGGACGGACTGCGTCAGAGAGTTGGGAGGTCTCTGATGCACCATGTAGAGTGGTATCATTTCAAAAAGCAGATGTAAAAGAAATCAAGAAAACCTTGCTTTGAATTACAGGCGTATGTGCTAATTTAATTCACAAGCTTGATTAGCACAGGTATAATGACACCATCGAAGTAACGCCTCGCGGGCTTTCAGCGATTGTTGAACACGATAAGTCATTCCGATTATGTCACTACCTGCACTAATCAAAACCTATGAAGGCATTATATAGTGCATGCACCTGTAATTCAAGCCTTGTTTTTTATCTGTTCATTTTGCATTCACTTTTTGTACCATGCAACTCTCAAACGGCGCGTCAAAGACCACAGAGAGTCGCTGACTGAGTCCTACGTCAGCAAATGGCGCCTCTTTATATTTCTTCATCCGTCATGCAATGTTTTACTGGATTTTAAAGAGTTGTTCTCAATACACCCCACCCCATTGGAAAAAAAAATATCATGTTTTCGGTTTACCCCTGTAGTTTTTCCGAACCACCGGGATAGTTCGAAAATGTCCCGTTACCTTCTACTTGATGGTTAAGTTTTCTCAAAATGTAACTTTAAGAGATACTCACGTCTCCCTGTCTTTGACAACTTGTTTTTTATTTGGTTGTAATAGTAGGTATTAGTTGGTGGATAAATGGAAGAATCGAGTGGGATAATTATGTTCATTGCTCTTTTTCTCTCTCTCTACTTATAGGGTATCTTCTTGTTCAGTCTTATTGACTATCAACCAGCCAAGTACGGTGAGGACTATTACTACCCTGTCTGGGGTGAGATCATCGGATGGATGATGGCCATCGTTTCTATGCAATGGGTCCCAATCTATGCTATCTATATCATCCTCACAACTCCTGGCTCCTTCAAAGATGTAAGTCAATGATCTTTATCACCCAAATAAGGTGTGTTCTCTTTCGAGGACGCCACTCGAACTATAACATTACCAGTATGTTATTTCATATTTGGAAGTTAAGTGTAGAGGAAGTAAAATACTCAAAGTGAGAGCAATTTGTTATGAAAATGTTTAGAAGCATTATAAATAGTGATGTCCAAGATATCATGAATGCAAAGTTTTATTTCAGTGAAATGGATACGGTAACATAAAGAGGATGACGAAGATATCCTCAATTTGCGAAAGAAGCAGGCATAAAACAGATATTACCAACCTTTGTATTAAAACTTTGTATTACCTTTAAATCTTTAAGTATCCAAATAATTCATTATAGAAAATCAAGTACCGTTAAATTAGTAATTACAGAAATCATATTTTAACGCATTTATTAAAGATGAAGTTGAGTTCTGGTCATGCGATTGCATTGTGAAAGAAACGGTGTGGAACCGACCAGAAAAGGTTGATCGTCTAGCATATAAGAATTTGTGTGTATTGCAAGGTTCTGGAATCGTCAAAATGATAAGAAATTTGGCCAAGTCTTGGTAAAGTTACAAGCACTGTACACAGAAAGATGTATATGGGACTACACGAACACGTGGCGTAAAAAGCCGGCCCCCCGATTTTTACGATGTTACATGCATATTTAGAATATGAAGGCATTTGAAGAGCCATGCTTTTCAGGGAACATGTCTTATCTGATGTTCTTCCACACTTGCGTAATAAGAATGAGCAACGCTCACAAATTATTTTTAACATCTTCCCAGAACTCAACCTTCTCTTTAAATATTTAATCGGCGCTTACAGTGTTATTGTTACCCTTATTCAACCTTGTATCTTAATTATTTTTCCATTTCCCCATGCAGCGATTACGCATCGCCACATCTCCCCGCATCGTTCTCCCCGAACCACCCCCATTGGAGGATGAGACGTTATCAGTGGAAGCAAACGGCAGCGACGGTTCCGACTCAATCAAGAATAATACAACAATGCCGCCGAACTACGACACCGCCATAGCCGGTGATAAGAAAGTTTACGAAAACGAAGGATTCAGCCCGTTATAAAAGACTCGTTGGAAGAAGAAAAGACACGGTATTTGCAGCAATTAGGAACTTGAGTGCATAGCATTGAGTTATATTCTAATGGGGCGTTTTGTCAACAAGGAGGGTGAAAAGCAAACCCATGAAAATCTGTCTCAACCGAAGCGAGGGGAAGCCGATGTGGTGTTTAGAGTAATGTGATCTTAGGAGAAAGATCTCTGTTTTGATGAACATGCTAAAGTCCTCGTCATTGTGGGGTGCTTGCATCAGAGCCCAATATTGAATATACATTGGCAGACAACCAGCCTTATTGTGCCAGTCATTCTTCCTTCCTTATGCCGCGAATTACAATTCAGTCGCCGTCAAATTTATTACAGCAATATGGGCAGGCAGATGATTTCATCATTCATTGAACTGTTATAGTGAAGCTCGAATAAACAATGAATTGTAATCATGATGAAATACCGGTATTGAACGAAATTCTAATCATTGATTGATAAAAATGAAGGTGTTTGCTTATTAGTTTCCACCTCCTTGGATGAGAATCAGGTATACTTTTAAGACGTAAACTCAACATAATACATATGCCTTTGCTGCCCGGTGTATGATGTTAAGATTTAGACTAAAGGAGTCTAAAAAGACTTGTTTGTAATGGAAATATCAAAAGGTGATAATAACATTTAGTCACTCATTATTTCTTCTCAATTTTTTTCCTCCTCTTCTTGAATTTCATCTTCTTCTTTTCTTCTTTCACCTCTTCATCCTTCTTCTTTTGCTTCTTCTTTTTCTCATTCATGTTCTTCGCCATCGTTGCCCTGTTCCTTTCAGTGTTCTCTTTCCCTGTTCATTTCTCCTCTCGGTCTTTTTCCTTTCTTATCTGCACGAACAATGTAGACTAAGTTTCTCTTTGTGTTTGAACTAGTATCGAAACTTGAACATGCTTTTATATGAAGAAAAAACAAACATTTTGTTTATATCAAACCAAAAGATTTTTTAGATTTTCACTTGAAAACCAAAAGAAAAATCAACAAATTGTATTTTCTATTTATAAGAAAATATTTGACGTAAAATATAACGCAGCTGGTACGTTAACTATATATATACATGTATATCATGATCGGAAACAGTTGATTTGCAGTTGACTTAGTAAACAAAATTAGTGGTCTATTTTCAAATTGTACAACATTTTAGTAAAAAATATGCTACTATTATTATTACATTTCAAATTTGTTTTTGTTATTTTACGTTTACCAAATATTTATAATACAACATGTGACAAGCGAAATCGGGGATGTCTACTAGAACAATGCAATGAATTTATTTCATCTCAAATTAGGTATTTTGAACCTCATATTTTTCAATTAATACCAGTGTCATTTGGCTACAAATGGTCATGTAATATGTAACAAACATGTTTGTCACTTTCATCTCAGGTATTTCTTATTGTCTCTTCTTTTTTTCCTCATTATATAATCATAGAGTATGATTTCTAGAGCACAGATCAGAGAACTTTTTATTTTTGGATGAACTTTATCTTTAAAAGTTAAACAAACTATGCATGCATAATTATGTATTATATTGTAAATAGATTAAGAATAAAACTGGGGGAAATAATTATAGGAAAGTATAACATTTTGAATCGGTTGGAAAGAATTTCTTAACCTCTGACGTAAATCTTTAGATCTCTCTATATCCCTTTTTCTGTTTGCTCGTATGGCACTATAATTATCAACATCCTCATTTATTATAAAGTATAACAACATCATTATCATTTGGTACATGTATGAATAATTGCGCCAAAACATCGATGATATGAGATGATTCAAGTTTATCAAATGATCTACTCTATCCGGTAGATTACATATATATGTAAATCAAATCGTATCGTCTTTAAATGGTTCTGCAATTTCTTCTGATAGTCCAAATTTAAGACTAAACCAGCGAAATTGTGAAGATTATTTTTATGCACAATTTGACGACTTCCCATTTCTTGGCGCGTCGCGAATGTGATTATGACGTTTGTTCACCATACTAGGAGCAACTGTCATGTCTTGTATAAGGCTGAGTATGTTGAAACATACTAAAATAGTTGTTCGGTGATATTCACTGCATATTAGATATTATGGTATTGATTGGTATATTTATATTATCTGTCAATGCACATTATATTTTTTACATACAAACAGTTGATCTGTGTTTTTGTTATGAATTCTTGGGCTGCAAAAAAGAGATTGTACTCTGCCGTGCAGAAATGTATGCATTCAAGATATTTAGAATTTTGGAATTTCTATAGTTTTACAGTTTGGAGAAGACCGAACAACAGCCGTAATAAAAATCACTGACTTTTTGTTTTAATGTAGTGTGTACATTAGAGGCCGTGCCCATGATCTTATACAAATATTATCGATTACTTTATAGTTCCCCAGTTTATTTCGGGCTATAGCGACTTTTATGCAAAGAATTTCACGAGCAGTGAGACTCTAATCATTATTTTGTAAGAGAATGCTTCAATCAGTAGAATTCCTCTAGTAGCATAAATGTCAACTCCATTTCAAGGATTGCCGAATGAGCCCACTCCATTTCATTAGTTGTCCATTTTTAAACAAAAAACATATTATAGCAAGTTAGCAACCCTCTCCTTTAAAGGTAATACAAAGTTTTGGGAAATTTTGAAAATTAGGTGGATAATGCATCTTTACAATTTTGATATATTTGGATGCCCCTGTGGATGTATTATAAGCACTAAAAAAATTAACCCCGAAAACACTTCTGTTTTCGAGAAAAATTGAATATAAAAATTTACCGGTGCTCCCGGTAAATTTTGGTAAATTTCAAATAGCGCCTACGGACGTACAATGGTAGCTGCGACCATGAAAATCTCAGAATATGTAGTTGTGATATATAATTTCCATACGGGAATAGCTAATCTGTCGATTTTAGTCAAGAAACATTGTTTCATAGCTAAATTGATATCGTGACCTTGAGAGGGAGCTATACAACATAAAGAGTTTATTATTTATAATTTCATAACTTTAGACTCGATTTCAACCGGGACAACGATCGATGTATATTGTAAGAACGCATAAGCTTCCAATATGCTAATTTGAACCAAATTCATGACCCCATACCAAAACTTTGTAATACCTTTAAGGGAATATTTCGACTGCAGACATATTACTGTACATGTATAAGCATTTATATCTCAAGTTTGTAACTTTCATTTGCTCACTTGAATTTTGATTGAATTTATTATGATTTATGATTTTGTCTTCCTCCCCATGTAACAGTGGGTTCTGTAAATAATATTTCCTTCCACTTTTCAGAGATATTTTGTATATTGTGGAAGATAATAAACAAAGAAAGTATCCTTGATGATTTTCACCATACGAAGTATGTGAAATAGTTGTTTTGTGTATTTTTTTTCTATCTCTCTCTCTCTCTCCCCTCCGTCCTTCCTCTCTCTCTCTCTCTCTCTCTCCCTCTCTGTCTGTCTCTCCCTCTCTCCCTCTCTGTCTGTCTGTCTCTCCCTTTCTCCTTCCCTCTGTCTCTCTCTTTCTCCTTCCCTCTGTCTCTCTCACTCTCTCTCTCTCGCTCTTTCTCTGCAATCCTCAGCCACCTTCATTCATTTACTTCTCATTCTGCTCTCTCAGCTTCTTTTTTAGTGTCCACGTGTGCATACATTATATTCCACATATTTTCACATCTAAGATGAAAATAAATGGTGAATATGGCTTGGAGCAGAATTACAAAATTACAAACACAAGCGGCAATTAGCTGAAGGAACACAATTTTAAAGTGATTTCCCAATATCTGGGATATTTAATGATAAAGGTCTAGAGAAATGACTTACTGTGTATGCAGACAAAGAGATATCAAATAATAAGTCATGCTTTCAGTTATGATTTTCGTAGTCTTGATTTCCATGAAGTTAAACCGAAAAAAATAGTAGGTATGGTATTGAAAAATTTGTTCCTTAGGATTTACATGTGTTATCATGCATTGAATGAACAAATAAAATTTCCTGTCCCTTCATGGAAATTCAAGAAGAAATTAATGAAAATTCACAAAATGATCAGATCGTTACGAAGTACATCAACATAAAAACACAATTTCTGTTAATTTCTCAAGAATAAAAAAATGTTTAAATTTCATGATTATGACCAGCTTTGCTCGCAACCCTTTTGATCATTATAGATGTCAAAACCAAATATGAGTATAAAAGATCTTCTGTTATATTACAGATTAAGGAATTTTTATTTTGTGACAGGACCGAACAATATATTCTTAAAATATAGCTTTAATAACTGCACACTCTCTTTGGCTGTATTAGAAGAAGAAAAAAATTAAATCTTGATCAATTAATATGCAAAGTTTATATGAAAAATAATTGATGGTTATGAGCACCGGGAATACACTTATTCTCACTTTTCTAGTGAATAAGCTACCAAGGAAAGAGAGTATACATAATTGGTTATTTGACTTATTTCTACAGTAAATATAAATACCGTACACAATGTAGTTCTAAGCTAACTCTGACAATCTAAGGAATATCTGTAACATCTTTAGGCAGTAGAATTTCAGAAATTTCTTCATGATCAAAACATAGTTACTACACCTTCGCTTGAACGTGCTCAGTACAATGGAAATTTGTGATAATGAATTCCTTCGGACCAACAAAATAATATTTTAAAATCAAAACATTGGTAAATTGGGGGGAACAAGTCGATTTTCACGACAAGTCGATTTTCAATTATGTACTCTCATCTTCTTTGGCTCCTCTTGCTTGTCAGATGGCCAAAACGCTTCAAAGTGAGGACCCTTTGTTGCCTAGCCAACTTTACAACAATCTATGTGAAGAAATGACTAAAAATTCTATTGGTAAAGGCAGCATACATACATTGCTTGAATACACATAGTTGTAGTCATAACTAATTTGGCTTGATTCCAAAACAGCCGAGCTGCTTCAAAAGGAGGACATACTTTTAAATAACCAACTTCAGGAAAATCAATGTAAACAACCGATTACAAAATGTTACAGGTACGTCAGAGAAGCATTGAGTTATGACAAATCAATGTTTTTAAGTTCTTTGTGCATGATGTGTTACATATGTACTTAAAAAGAAACTCCAATGGAAGTGTATTAGAGAAGGCAATGACCTTTTTTTAAACACAGTATCTCTCATTTCAATGCTTATCCTCCGCAAATCTGATCTAATTTCATCACTTCTTGTGATGTTATCAAATTCTATTCAGCAGCACAGAGTAAGCACTCATCTCAATTCTCAAATGTGATAAAACATCTAGCAATAATAAATATGACACAGTCACCAATTAAAAGAAATACTGTCACAACTTCGCAACAGAATTATCACTGAAGAAAAAAATGCTTAAAGAATGAATTTCAGAACATCTCTCTTTGGCTTCCATAATGTGTTACTTCAACAAATAAATTCTGTATGATCTTAAAAAGAAGCTTAGATCCTACAAAATATTTTGCAATTCTATCAAGAGTGAAACTAATATCTATTCCAGGGTAAAAACAACAACAACAAAACAGATGAATCACGATCGAACAATCGAAAAATCAACTTAAGGCGACGTAAATTCATTTTTTCATTACTTATTGAAATGAAGGAACGTTACAATGACCTACATGTACATGTATGCAAACATGATTTCTACATGATATACAACACGATGCTGAAATTGCCTTAGACTTGATTTCTTGAAAGTGTTAGTGATCACATTGACATGAAAGTACAATATACTAGACACTGCTTATATGTAGCTAAATTGGGATATAAAATTCAATGAAAGAGCCCTTTACAATTGATATGCATCAAGAACACAAAATGATAAAGCAAGAAAAGACATGATGGCAGTCAATAAAGATTACTTTCCTCAAGGCGAGGGATACCACAAGTAGAAGTAAATTTCTCTTAAAAACTAATCTAGGACATTAATTCTGTATAGGAATTAACGCCCATTTGGCTCATAACAAATCAAAAGATCCTTCTGGCCCTAGGTATCCTACTGAAAGTGAATTTGGGCCCCCATGGAAGACTTTTTGTGCGCCTACTTCAGCAAACAAACCAGAGAAGTATCATTCATTACCCTGTGAACTGAGTGATATATGATTTTAGCCTTCACAGTTCAGGTGGCTTTACCCAATGAGCCTGATAAGAGGCCTGATGGAGCCCTACATGTGACGAAGAGTAAAAAGCCTGGAAAACCCTGAATAATCCCGAAATAAAAAGGTTCTCGAGGCTGAAATCATGCAAATAGTCTGAAAAATAGCATTTCACCGATAGGAATACACATATGAATAACTAAAAATTACTATAACTTTGAAATTTTCTCCACTACATGAACGAACCCAATAGCTAACAACCAAATAATGTTTCATATGAGACCAAAGATTTTGAGTTGAGCATTACAAATGCTTGCATATAGCTGGGTGTATATACTATGCATACCTGCAGAGAGACACATTCACATGCACCAATAATGATAGTCTATTATTCTCAGAAATTTCAATTTGATACGGTAATGACAGAATACCACCGCCGGATGCTACAAATAAATCCACATCTCCCAACAATTTAGGCTTTGAGATTATGATCGAAACATGTTTTTTTGTTTTTAAATTTTAGATCAGAAACAATTAGCTAATGTACTGACCACAACCATTGGTAAAATAAGCATTTAGCTGCTTCTGCAGTACCATAACATGTATTTGAGAGCTTGCAGCACATAGATTACCCAAATAAGTGTGACATGATAATCTTTTAGTCCTTAGTCTAATAGAAATTGGGAACTAACATACTAGAGATGCTGCTCTTAGATGGCGCAAGGATCAATTTCTACAAACAGCATTGTTTTCTGGATAAAAATCTTTTTATTTATCGATGTATCTTGTAAAGAGTGTTCCCTGCTTTATGTCATATAAATATGGTATTACATTAAGCATAATGAAGTGCTGTAGCAAACACAATATCCTACAGGGAATTAAGGGGGAAAATCTCAAAATATCAGAGTGTTTTCTTTCACTCGTTTATTTGGAATTAGTGGGGAAAAACATTAAATGTGTGCTTTCTTGGGGTCTCAGGAATATATAACACACCCACAAAAAAATGTCATCTTGCCATTCCTGCATTTTTTCATATTTGTTCTTGGTGTCTTTTCATTTGTTTGTTCACTGCTCACCAACATATTTCTCGGATGGCAATTTACACATGGTCTATTACATTACACAAACGATTGTTGCCCGGCCAGTATGCACAATGGCAAAGGGGACATCCAGTCTCTCATCAACTCACCGTTTGAGTCGAAGAGAACGTCTTGATTCCTATCATCTCATTCAGAAATAACCTGGTAAACCACCTTTAAAAAAGTGCCACTGGAAAGTAAATATTGTATATACAAAGGTAAATAGAAAGAATAGTTGCACAAAACAAAGGCTTCTGAGCATAATCCTGGACCTTTGTGTTATAAGATACAGAAATATGTCCACTATGTTTATATAATTTTACTTTTTCATGGCCTTTTTTGTCTTTAATTCTTCTCTTTTTTTTAAAGGCAGTTTACCATTTCATATGTGAATAAGAACTAGTAGTCGTCACCACGGCTGACTACCTCCTTGTATGTCGGTCGAAGCATGATGGTGTGTTCATACTGGGCTGTGTAGCATCCCTTCACATCACACAGGGGAGGGTACGGGTCCACCAGGCCTGTAGAAGGTGGGAACAGAAGCATGGTACAAGATTAGTATGCAGTGTGAACAGGGTGGGTGGTGATGCATGGGGTGATAAATGAGAGCATGGAAAGGGGAGGAGAGAGGATGAATAGGAGATGGAGAGAGGATGAATAGGAGATGGAGAGAGGATGGAGAGGGGATGGAGAAGGGGAAAATGAGGAGAGAGAGGGAAAAGAGAGGGGAAAGAGAGGGGAAGGAAAAGGGAGTGGACAGGGGAAGGGAGAGATGCAAAATGAAAAGGAAAGAAACAGAGCCATATATATAAAAAATGTAAACAGAAAATGTAAAGATAAAACAGGAAAAGAAAGATGAAACAAAGACAGAGAGATCGGAAGTGATGGTGAATAGAGAAAGAATGGTGCCCACTATAATATATGCCTAAGACAAAATTTTAAACATTGTAATTTTTCTGAATTGATATTCATTTAACATCTTATTTACATTTTATCTATTGATTGTCTACTTGATATTACCTGTGTCGCACAGATTCTTGAGAGCCATCAGATACTTGGTCTCTCCCAGTCTGTCTAGCCATCGACGGCAGAAAGCCAATGTCCCAAAGTTATTGTTGATAACTTTCAGGAGAGCCTTAGATCTCTGCATCCTGGAAAAGAAAGAAAACAAAACTGCTAGCTATAACAAGCTTCTACCCATTGCACACACAGTATGATTTTAGTGATGAAAGCAACAGGCCCAGTCTTCGGCACACCAACTGAGAGTGGCATTGTACACAAAGGGAATTGAATAGGGCAATGATTTTGTTGAACTAATGGTGTAAGGGCTAATTACCACAGATAACTACAAATAAAAAATAATATGTCGAGTGCAAAGGGGACAGCATTTAAATTGTACGTCTGCTGTGCCATCTAAAATAAAGGAAATGTAGAAAAGATATTGTGCTGCTTTTTAATGGAATGCATCAAGCTTAACATGAAAAACAAACAAAATAGGGAGCTCATGCCATGTATTTCTTTTCTGATAATTTTTGCTCATTACTCTTCTTGTTGAATATATCATGTTTAATGCATAACTCATCTCATGGAAGACATTGCTAAATACATCCAACTTTATACTCCAGTCACACCGACGAGACTGATACTGAACTTATAACAGACTAAAAGAAACATGGCATGACCACTATCGGTACTTTTCAAGAATTAGTCAATTCAGAGTCGGTTTGGCAAAGTGACTGGGGTAATAGAAGGAATATCTTGATCTCAAACATACCTAAGAGGGACATGTCCAACTTCAAAGTTCTTCATATAGTGAGAGCACTCCATGTCATCCCTCACGAACCCTTTGCCAGTACTTCCAAAAGTTTCTATTGCATAGAATTCATTTTCCTGTGAAAAAAGAAAGAATGTGAAGTTAACTAATGATACACTGTTCGGTTAAGCACAAGAAATATCTCTACATTGTTCAATAGTTTCATCTAAACATTTAGGTAAGTGTTGAGGAACACGTCTTAATCTCTCACTGGCCGTGCAAGTAATTTTTTTATATAAGAGAAATCCGAGGAGATATTCATTGTGCTAGATTTGGACATGTACAAATGGGAAATTCCATAAAGTTTGATGCGACTGAACAGTGAATGAGGCACTGCACAAGGACGATTATGTCTATAGTAAAAACAGCTTTGACAGTATGCCTAAAGAGTCAAAATACTCCATGGCACCCATTAATGAGATAACAAGATCAATTTATATAGCAAAGCTACTATAAACTCTACTGTGGAGAAGAGAAAAAAATCCTAATTGTGCTATTTTACACATAACCAAAATCTATTCAAAGGCTTCTGAAAACAAGTGTGTCTTCAACAAGACTTTGAAGACGGCAACAGATGGGGACTTTCTTATTTCTAGTGGTAGGTTATTCCAAGCTTTGGAGCAACACAATTGAAGCGCAATCTCCAAGAGTTACTTTTGTTATAGTGTGAGGGATTATCATTAGCAGCTTGTCCTTTGTGCATCGTACAGTATCTTATTTGAATATGGATGGGATTTAAAAGATAATAATTCAGACAAATAACTTGGGGCTTGACCATTCCAACATTTGTAAACAAGCAAAATTATCAGTACCTCCATTCTAGTAGCCTCTCCTCCCTTGACTATAGGCACGGTCTTGCCAGCGTGTATCCTGTATGGTCCGATGGAATGTCCGTTGAGATTGCGGATAGGTTTGACCTGGTACGTCTTCCCATCTAACTCTACTTCATATGACTCCATCACCTCCTGTATCCTCTCACCCACATCGCATAATCTCACATCGATTCCAGCTTCCTATCAAATTCAAAATTTATTGTCCAATGATTTGAAATTTGTTTCATTTGCATGTCAGTACAAGATTACAGATTATAAACATCAATAAGATACAAATGGATACAGAATAGTACATTTGACTTGAACATAGGTAACACAAAATGCGATAGTTCAACATATTTTGTAATGTTAGAATATGTCAACCTATTAATTTTCTAATGGGAAAGCACTTTAGAAAATGCTACAATATACAGTTCTGGTACCTGTTAAATACTTCTTAAACTGAAGGTGAAAGACAACGTCAGAAACTCAAGATTTGAAATTCAGAACATGTTTTGTTGATTACTGAACTCTAACTTTCTTCTGGAGACAAGCCTTTTATTAACCGGGCGCCGGGCGATTTTTACCCTACGGTCCCTGACTTTTGGCGCCCGGTAAGACGGGGAAAATGAGTACCGGGCGCCGGTCATTTTTTATTTCTGGCGTCCGGTCTGGGAGAATTAACATTTTCTGTTTCATAAACTTCCACATGTCTAGCACTAAATGTTCACAAATGTGACAAAAACTTACTTGATACAAGTTAAACGTGGACTGAATGAACCCTAACAAATCATTATAATGAGAATCCTAATTAAAATCGCCCAGAAACAATTGCAGCACGAATACGAGCGGCCGCTATTTCCTACTCCTAGCGGAGAACGGAGCACACAATACAGGGGATGTACACCACTCAAAGACGAGCGCATTTCCCCAGCCCAGGCCATGCATACACACACAAATGACATCAGTGCTGTACTGCAGTACACACACACTGTCAGTACAAGAAAGTCTCGATGTAACTTCCAAAAATCCATCCGAAAAGCCAAATTTTGCTGTCAAAAATGCGGAATCGGAGCCATATTTCCAAAGCTCACGGGGGTTAAGCTCAGTTTTAAGAAACAGTTTCATCAAAATAGCGCTAAAAATCAAGAAATCAGCGATTTTGTTACCAGTTTTTTTGCCTATCGCATGCCCTTCGAATGTAATGGTATCTTCAAAAAAGCAAATGAAAATCAAAACACCGGATCTGCTGATGCATTGACTTTATGTACAAAGTTGATTGCCTTGATTCAGCGGCCCTCGTACTCATTGACTAAAATTCTGTGATGTTTTGAATAATGGACTTTTCTGATAAAATAGATAAATATATTTAACAAATCTTTTTTTTAAATTTTTTTAATTATTATTATATTATTATTATTATTTTTTTTTTTTTTTTTTTTTTTTTTAAGTGACAGGTCGGTCGTTCTCAATGATTAAATGCATTTGTATTCAAAGAAACATGAATGCAATAGCATTTTATAGGGAAAATAACAAAAACGTAAAACAGGCATAATCTTTTTTTTTCACCTAAAATATGTTTTTTCAAGCTGAATAATATGTTTTTTTGAAAGCGACAGGTTGGAAGCTCTGCATTGTCATTATAGATCTGGTTTTTCTTAAATATTTTTTTATAGAAATAATTTAATGCCCCCCTTCCCAACATTTTTAAATTTTTGACATTTAACGGCATGAAAATAGTATTAAACATGAACTACAACAACTACAAATGACAGATTTATCTAAGGTATGAGTGATTTAATATTAGAGTGCTCAAAATTTAAACTAGAAATTAAACTACCGTATGTATAAATAAAAGGTAACGTTTAACAAATAATTTAAAAGAAAACGGTACATATTTTCATCAATTTTGGAAACGGCTCCTGGTCCTGGAAAACGGCTCCCGGTTCTCTAAAAAAAATAAGGACCGGGAGCCGCTTTTTCAGATATTTGGCTCCCGGTCTGCTTTGACTTAATAAAAGGCTTGTCTGGAGATATATTCTGTTGGAGCCAATTGAGAACCAAATACAAATATATGCACTTAATGAATTATCAGCAGATATTTTGAATCATTTGGTACCTTAATTCCTGTATTTGTAGCATCCTTGACAGCTGCCAGCAGTTGATCGTACTTGGGGTTGAACGTGACGGTGAAGGCACAGTCAATAATGCGACCTAGGAAAGAATACAAGGAAATGAATAGGGACTAATGATGACTAACAAGATTTTTTTTAAAAATTCGAAGTAATACTACAGTCCATTATCCTTTTATTTTTACCTGAGCATCAACACAGACATCAGAGATATAGAGTGCTTATCAAGCAATACATTTGTTTTTCTTCAATATGCTGTACCGTTGATTTGTACTGACACTTATGTTTGCAACTTAAAAAATTCTAGATCAATGTTACTTCTGCAGAACACAAGACACAGACGTTCCTATTCATAAGTCCACAAATAAAACTAACTTCATGTGGGATTGAAGCCATACCATTTATTATTATTAATCTTTTCCTTATTTTGATATTTCTTTAGTTCATGAATTAGTAGTTAATATGTGCAATTTTGTTGTATTAATATTGTAAAGCGCATTGTTATTTCCTTCGAAGATGAAATGCGCTATAGCAGTCTAGGTTATTATTATTATTATTTATGTAACCAAAGTCAATCTTGCAGACAAGAAACAGATGCTTCTATTCATAAGTAAACAAATAAAACTACGGTAACATCACATGGGATCCAAGCCATACCATTTATGTGAGTGCCAAAGTCAATCTTGCAGACATCGTCATATTCTAGGACTGTAGTATCACCAGCGTTGGGAGTGTAGTGGGCAGCACAATGATTCCTGGAGCACCCTGTAGGGAAAGCTAGACCAGCCTTCAAGCCATTCTCATCGATCAGTTTCCTGGAAGCGGTTTCTAGTCTCTCGCTGCAAAGACATGGCAAAGGATAGGAAGGGTTGGATGTTATAACTGTACAAGTGCTGTGTCTGCATGATTAAATTATGAACGATGAATCCTCTTGCACACAAAAAGCCGGGGTAATAATGAATGCGTCTTGGAATAGAATTTCTAGATAGACGGCGCTGTAGAAATGCCTATAATTGTTATTATTATTATGACGCAGTGAAATGCCTCAAGAGGACACATGGCAATATATGATGCTTAAGCTATTAAAATGCATGTCTTATTTCTCTATCTTAAAACAGATAAGGAATGTTTATGAGCCGTTGTTGTGCACAGCTTAATTTTTGATCCCATCATTTTATAATTCATTTACATGTACAAAAAATAATTGCAGGGCCCTCAGGGAGAACAGTATGAATACTGATGAGGCTACCCTGGGTAAACAAGACATAGTATTATTATTATTATTATCAATGATGATGATTGTAGTCATGACTGTACAATTTGCAACATAGCGCTTGCTAGTTGTTTTTTCCCCCCTGATAGACCAAATGTGGACAAATATTCCTGAGTATAGACAAACTAGAATGGGCTAGTTATATTTAAAGCATTGCCTTTGTACTTCCTGTCAATTATCCAAGGTGTGATCCATTCATGAAGGTAAATTGATGTGCAAAGCGCATGGTACTCCAACCCTTTCTAAACATTACATGGATGTACTCAAGATTTTTAAGAAAATGGCTTAATCTATGTATACACTCAAATCGAGTTAGAGATCTATATCAGTATAGAGAGACAGTAGGAGTGTATGATTAGCAAGCATTACTCCTTATAAGTGCCTGATCTTCTTTTCCTACACCATTATTCCTGTCATCATGTGCACTTGAACACACTACCATACTAAACTACACATGACCTTGAAAACTACACAAGGTTCAAATTCCCTTGCCTTGTGAAGTCATTAATTCTTGTAAGCTTCCTCAACAGGAAGACAAATTTGACCTATTACGGAAAGAAAAAATATTCCAGGTTTCTGCTTCCTACTGTGTGTCAATCTAACATCCCCCTCTCCCCCAACATAAGCACGCATACCTGACTATACGTCTATATTTATCATCTATTTTTCTTTCTTTTTGCTATCTGGCTTTATATGTTCCTCTAAGAAATGTCCCCTCTTTTATATCCTCAGTTTGCATACTGTACTTTTTTGTCAAGGCATCATAAATTGTATTTTTCACAAACTTTTACAATGCAAATATATAACAACATGCAAAAATGAGCAAACAATGCACGTTTGAATATGTATTGTCGGTACCTTGTGTTAATTATCGCAAGACAACTTGAGAAAATATCAGTGTCCCTATCATCCACAAAATTATTTGTAAGCAAAAGTGTTGATTTGCCCTGTGCCACCAACCCGTCTGTGTAGCTCTGACTTACCATATGTCTATCATTGTCATGCCTGGCTTGATGAAACCCTGTACATGTTTCCTGACTTGTCTGTGTGCCTCAGCTGCCTGCCTCAGATCATTGTACACATCATTCTGTAATCTATCTAGCGCCTTCTTCTCCTCGTTAGTGACCCTCCATTGTGCTGATTTCCTACATTTTAATATAATCATAGCATTCATGAATACAATTGATTCAAAGAGTTTTATATTTTTGTTTTCATACCTTTGTTCTTAAGAATACCCAGTTTTTTATTAGGGTGCAAAAATTCACCTGACACTTCTCAGCCTTTCTTAGATATTGCAATGTGAACAAGAATCCCACACTCAGATTTCAAACATGTACAGCTCTCAAAGGTTTTCCACAATAAATGCATAGACATACTTACCGGTAAATCAAATACAGATCGTTTTAATTTAAAGGCACTTGTGTCAACACTCTTAGATTATCCCACAGCTTGGTACAGTGGGGATCCTAAATTGCACAGGTGACACTTGATTCAGGCTTTACTTTATGAGTGATAAGGGTTTGGGGCTTTGGTTGTGACAAGATTCAGGGTAAAGGTTCCACATATAATTCCACACCGGCGATAATTTCATTTTTGAGTCGCTCTGTACAGAGGTGGCATTTCTTGAGGCCAAAAAACTGTACCAAACTCAAAGCTGTGATGTGAAGGCAGGCTCGTGTGCTGAAGGGAACAGCTTTTTCAGTCCATTATGATCGAGATATGGTCTTTGTACCATCATCTCATCAATATTTAAAGGAGGATTATTCACTTCAAAGAATTGTTGCAAGCTGCAATAAAAAACGGCATCACCATGTCTTTACGCCGGATCCTACATCATTTGTGCAACATACGCATAGGAATCAAGTCAGTCCTGCTTCTCATACTAGCATGTCTCGCAATACACACAGTATTCCTCGTTCTGATACGGAACGGTTACCTATTGTCCTCCAGAAGACCCGGAGATGCCATAGACAAAAAGAGAGATGTTGCCGAGTCATCGGAGAAACACTCAAATATTTCCTCACTTGTGAAGTCTCTGCATGACGGAGAAAAGGAGTTGTATGCCGATATTAAATCAAAACCTGTGAGTTTAAATGAAATCGTCAGGAATTTAGCACATTTGGCAAGCAATCGTTCGACGGATGATTATAACACAGGGGATGAAAGCGTGGGAGCGTCGGACTCAGAGAAAGCATCGGACCAGAGTCAGCATCATGATGATGAAAAGCATGGAAAGGAATCTGTGACGGAGAGGGCAAAAGCCGTTGAAAAGACCACTGAAGAATTGACTAAAAAGAGTTGCATCCGGTATGTGTCTATCTATTCGCCACGCATGGCGCCTTTTCATTACTGGCGTGAATATGTGAATCTAGAACAGGCCTTTAAGGAGGCGAAAGAAGTAAATAGTTCGCGCTACGACAGCAGGATCGTTCAGCACCGAGAGTTCCCGTCGATGTTTATCGAGTGTCCCGGATACCGATGTGACGTGGCTCTGAGGCCGACAGCGGACGAGCGGTTCCTTGCGCGGAGCGATGCTGTCATGATCAACATGGTGCCTCAAGAGGTACGCTATAAGATGCCCAAACTCTCAGAGCGACTCATCAAGAATCTTCCACGACGAGTCAAGGTCTTTTTCTACGCCATGGAGTGTCCGCTAATGATGTCCCACTGGGACGACACGTTAAAAGACATCCAGTATCACTACACGATGACCTATCATTCAGACAGCGATGTCTATTTCCCATACGGTCAGTACGTTCCCGGAGAGCCAATGGACACCGAGGTAAAAAACTTCGCGGAGAACAAGACAGGTCTTTTGGTCTGGACGGCCAGCAATTGCAACAAAACCTTCTGGCCGCGGCTGGAGTGGGTGCGGAACCTGGAGAAGCTCGTGGATTTCGATACTTACGGTAAATGTGGCAAGCTGACATGCCTCCCGCCGTTGTCCCCAATCTGCACCAGGCAACAAAGAGTGTACAAGTTCTACCTCGCGCTCGAAAATGCTCCTTGTGATGAGTATGTCAGCGAGAAGGTCTGGACAAACAGTCTCATGACCGGTCTGGTACCCATCGTCTACGGTGGGAGACGCGAAGCTTACGAGCGCGTCCTTCCGCCGAATTCTTTCATCCACGTCAGCGACTTTGCCTCCCAGCAGGAGCTTGTTGACTACCTCAAGATGATCGATAAGAACGATAACCTGTACAACGAGTTCTTCGCCTGGCGGAGAGAGGGTCGGGTGGAGCAGGTCTATCCAGATCTGTACCCGGAATCTTTCTGTCGGGTGCTCCCGAAGCTGTCCAAGTACAGCTCACCTCCGGTCAAGAAAATTGGAGATTCCAAATACTTTCAATCGTGCCGAGGAGGTCCCGTTAGAAACCGCACCGCACAAGGTGATATTCACAATTGGAGCCCTTGGAGATAACGAACTAAAATGGAATGTCCTACGTCTATTTTCGAGAAGAAAAACATATTCTCGATAAACGTATGTGTTTAAGCCGATTGATTGATATGCATCAGTCTATTATCATCATCAATATTGCCGTCACCTGTGATTGAGAAGGGAAAATATAACTTAAATAAACTTCGTGTCTCTTATTCCATTAATACTGATTGGGATGTGCCCTTTAATTTCTAAATCCTATATTTAATGGTGGTTTTTAAATAACTGTACGATGTTATCCGCCATTGTGTGATATTCACATGTAGCGTTTAGGAAAGGAGTTATGTCTTTGTATAGTACTCTGTATTGTCCTGTTGTTTCATTTTCATTGGAAATATTTCCAATCCATGAAGAACGTGTCCTGGGGCGCATGACAACTCATGGATAAAATAAATGGTCGATGTACCGAAAATATATGGATATTTTACGTCATTGAAGCAAAAGTTCCCAAGCAGGGGAGGCACTTGTATCTATTTTGTCGACAATCCTTACATCTTGACTAAATACCACGACGTCTTCAAAAAATACTCAAGAACTATTCGTATAAGAGTAGGGGGAACCCCGGTGTAGTGGTCCACCTGCACACCCCAATCAGGCCGAGTATAAACGGCATTTGCAAGAATCTTCAGTATTGAAGGAGGCAGATTATCTTGAAAAAGAAAAAGAAAAAAAAGGTAATTCAGTCCAGGTTAAAATTAAAGTTCAATAGGTGTTTTTTTTAAGTGACCATGAAGAAATTGTCACCAGTGCATGTATTGCACAATCAGGGTATTATCCTTTTGGGATTGGACAATCTACCTACCCGTCAACATCTGGATGCACCACCTCTTGTCCAACTGGGTAAGGTCCTCCCGAGAACAGCTCTGAAATCGGCACAGTGGGTGGGTCTGTCTGCTTATTGCTCTTTGCTGGATACGCAATACATGAAAGAGGTTAAGACACATCAAGATCTGCATTAGAATTAACATTTCATTATACCCTGCTTTTATCTACTGGTAAGTAAAAATGAAGGGATCACATGTATTTATCTTTTGTCTTAGCAATCAATGATGCACTTCTTGAACACACTGTAGAATAAGGATATAACAACATGCTGAACCCTATCAACCTTGAAGGCAGAACAAAAATAGGTATCATTCCTCCAAAATAGGAATGATTGGCAGCTGTCATGAGCTATGAAATATATTTGAAGAACTAAAGCACAGAACAAATGCAGCTGCAGCAAATATGGGTCCACTGGGTGTTTAAAAAGCAGCTATGGCCTGAATAAGCGAATATATAAAACTCTTTTTGTTTTTAATTTTTAAATTTTGATCTTACCTTGAGAAGTAACCTCCTTTACAGCACCTTGATTCTCACCCCCTTCACCAGCGCCTCCCTTCTTCTTCTTCCTCTTTCTTTTCTTCTTCCCTCCTTCTCCTCCACCTTCCCCAGCTGCTCCATCCTCCTCTTTCTCATCTCCTTCTGGGGTGTTTGCTTCTCCTGACGGAACATCATAATTTATTTTGTTATCTTTAGAATTTGTTTAGCCTAACTATGGTATTCTATATTAAATAGAAATGTATAGATTCTGAAGAAAATCTGCTTTCTAACATGATAGCCGATCGCTTAATTAATCTCAAGAGCTTGTTGCAAGAAAAGGATAATGGAAATCAGCAATGAATGTATTACTTCACTTGACATGGACTCTGGCCTGTCCATGTCCTAGGGGAAGTATCAACTCGCACAACCCATCTGGTATCTTACACTTGATGTCTTACCAATGGTGCAACATGTATGCAAAATTGCAAATTGTCTTGCATTTGCTTATTTTTTAAGCTCCAGTTCTGTTTTGACTTTGGAATGAGATTTTCCTTTTCTTATTAGTAACTTAAATTGGAATCCCCCCCCCACCCTTTTTTTTCTTCCTGGGAATACTCACCATTAGGCTGCTTTTCATCAAGCTTCTGATTTCTCAGATCTTCTGTTACTTTCTCTACCTCTCCATTAACCTCGCCAGTTTCATTCACCCCACCTGGAGATTTTTTGTGGTAAAGTGAAAAAAGTTAGCTTCAATTCCAAATGTGTAGGTCTGCGTAGGTCTGCGTAGGTCTGCACACAACAGAATTTTCAAAGTCAAACATTTATTGCCACACAAGGGCAAAACACAGATTTCATACAAATAAAACCTTGAAAGCATCAGGACAATGTTAATGTATAAATCTATCACTGATTTAAAAAGATTGTTTTTAATGCGAAATTCATCAAATATTAGGATACTCAATGTGATGACTGATGGTAAGAAAGCGAAGGGGTCAAAATTACTACTTTTCAATGGCAGAGTAGATCCAGATCTAACTAGATCTATCCTGCATAGCGACATCATGTTTTATCAATGAAAATGAAAAGGGAAATCAAAATTACAAACCTTTTCATCTGAATTTTCAAAACTTCCTTTTTTTTTTTCTGATTTTTCTTCATAAATCATTCATAGGTTCTATTTTAAACCTTGCTTCAAAAATGAATTTTTCACTTTTCAGTCTCTTGTCTAACTCTAAGCTCTATCACAGTATCAGGCATAGTCTATGTCATCTCTTTAGTGACAACTTCTCAACATGATAACTCTCTGATTCTCTCAATCTCTCAATACAACAGCCAGCATGCCAATACCAAGTGGCGCGTATATGGTGGTGAATGCACCGGTACTCTGCAAGCATGGTACCCCAGCACTACTGGCGCGCGATTCAGCTTGGCGAGGGATCAAGCATGTCATGTCATGTAAATAATGGATGTCCGTCGCACGTCTCGATTCTCGACCATCAACAATTTGCAAACTTGCCCAGCAGAGTTATAAAACAAGCATTTCACCTGTATTTTTCTTTTTCTTCCTCCTTCTTTTCTTTTTGCCCTCGGTTCCTTGTTGATCGGTGGTGTCAACTTCTTCGACCTCGTCTTTTGTATCGCCACAATCATTCATTACTTCGCATTCCTTCGCATCGGGAACTGCATCCACCACAGCTGCCATCTTGGTAGATGATAAAGTTTTAATTTTAAGGTGGCGCCCTTAATGATTTTTTTGTTTTGTAATATTCTTTATTGTATTCACTCAATAAATAATATTAATTCATACAAATTGTAATATATAACATATTGAAACCAATTACAGAGTACAAAATACAGTAATCTCAATTATATTGAATGAATTAATATTGTTATAACCCCCCCCCCCCCCTCTATATTTTGTTCTGTGTTACTAGTATCCCTATTACATATTATAATTTATAACATATTGGAACAAAGTACAGACTACAATCAACTTAGTTATATCGAATGAATAAAGTTTGTTAAATCCCCTACCCCCGTTAAAAACAAAACCAACAACAACAAACACAAAACAAACAAAAAAACAAAAAAAAGAAAACAAAAACAAAAACAAAAAACAAAACAAAAAAACAAAAAAACAAAAAACGATACAAGAAGACGTGGGCAGTCTATGGCAGTCGAGACCGGTCAATCACACACAGCTGTGAACCGGGCAGGCCCCCCCTTTCCTCATCCCTTGCATTTTCTTGCATATTATCCATGTTTACCTTGAGATGTTCCCATTTTTTATAGTGGAGCGTCAACGTATTTCGTTCAGTAGCACTCTTTCTTTCTTCCCGTTTACTTTTGAATATTTTCTCTCTTATTTCTTCAATACTTGGAGGCTTCTTTTTTTCCCTGCTAATAAATATCAAATATTTAATTAATAAAACCACGTGATTAATCATTTGCCTATCTTCGGTTATTTCGTCTAATCCAATGTGAACTTCCTTCCAGCTCATATCTTTAAGGATTGGAATATCCAAACTATCACTACATTGATCCCATAATTTTCTCACCATTTCGCATTCAAAAAATATGTGCCTATATGTTTCCTCTTCTTTTCCACAAAATGAGCATTTATCACTTAATATGAATTGAAACCTGTATAAATAACGATTGACATAAACAATTTTATAAAGCAATTTGAATTGAAATTCTCTTAGTTTATTATCTAAAGTACTAATTCTTGGTCGGACAAAAACCTTTTCAATTTCTTTAACCGACAGATTGTATGATGAATGTAAATTCTGAAAACTGACAGGGACGTCTTGCATTTTTTGTATGCATGCCCTGTACAGATTTTTCGAACAAACCGATTCAAATTGGAATGTTTTTTTTGTAAACATAAATTCTATTTTTAGATCATGAAATGAAATTTGCCTCTTTGTTAATTCGATTTTCCATTCCTTTGGTATATTACCATAGATTTCTTTAAGCATTGATATTTCCTCTTCCTCTAGTCCCATACATCTGAAATAAGTTTCCGACTTTAATGTTCCTTTTCCATCTATAATATGGTACAATCTATAAGTATTTTTTAAGAAAAGATTTTCATTGAAGTATGTTTTTCCACTATTGTGTATATACCTATTATTTAAAAAAATTTCATTCCCTTTGTGAGTTGTATCTTTTTTAATAAAATCATTCATATCTAACCAAATGTTTATTAAATCCCGATAGTATTTTGGTAATTGTATATCGATCTTGTTAGGTAAATAGTTACAGTAAAAAATAAGATTTCCTCCGAAAGGTCTCATTAAAAATTTGAAATACTTTTTCCATTTAACTCTCTGGTTTCCTGTTACAAGTCTTTTAATCCACATCACTTTTTGTACTTTCACAAAAAGTTGAAAGTTGAGCATTTTTAATCCTCCTTGCTTGTAATCAAAATACATCGTACTTTTTTTAATTTTGTCTTTACCTCGCCATAGAAAATTAAAACAGATCTCATCAATTTCTTTTATAACCCATTCAGGCACTGGAGTCAAAGAGCTTACATAGATTAGTTTTGAATATGCGTATGTTTTCAGTAAATGAATTTTTCCTATCAAAGTAAGATCTCTTTGTTTCCACCAATTTAACAATTTCTTTATTTTGCTTAATATTTCTTTGTAATTCATCTCTTCCGCCACATTGGGATCTAATGTAAAATATATACCGAGTATTTTTAAAATGTGTGCCTCCTTTCCAAAAGGATACACAGTCGCAGAGCCAACAGAAGATCCTAAGGGTAAAATGAATGTTTTATTTCCATTAATCTTTAGTCCTGATATTTTCCTAAAATTTTCCATGATTACCTCTATTCTATTAATCGAGTTTATGTCTCGTACAAAAATTGACATGTCATCTGCATATAAGATCATCTTTATTTCTGTTTCTCCAAAACAAATACCTTTTACCAACTTATCATTTCTAATGCAGTGAGTTAAGCATTCTATGCATAAAATAAATAAATATGGAGATAACGGATCTCCTTGTCTTACACCCCTTTGAACTTTAAAATATCCGGTTGATTTACCCCCATTAAAAACACAACTTTGAGCATTGGTAAGTAAAATTGTAACCCATTCACAAAACATTGGCCCAAACCCGAAAGAAATGAGCACTTTCTGAAGAAAACTATGTGAAATCGAGTCGAAAGCTTTTTCATAATCTATTGCCAATAGGTACCCTGGTTTGTTAAAACAAGAAGTATGAAAAATCATATCATTGATTAATCTGATTGCATCACCGATGTTTCTATCTTTTAAATAACCTACTTGATCGACCGACACAATTTCATTCAAAACTTTTTTATTCTTTTAGAAAGTATTTTGGTAATAATCTTATAGTCTACGTTGAGTAAGGAGATAGGTCTATAATTACTAATGAAATTAGGGTCTTTACCATCCTTATGTATAAGCGTTATGATTGCTTGTTTTTGAGAAGGCGACAATTCCTTGAATTTCATGGTATCGTTAAATGCCTTAAGAACTAAGTCACCAACTACATGCCAGAATGTAATATAAAATTCTACATTTAATCCGTCATTTCCTGGGGATTTATTTAACTGCATTTCTTTTAAGATTTCAATACACTCTCCCTGGTTAATTTTTCCTTCACATAGCTTCCTCTGATTTTCTGTTAATTTGGGTAAGGTTTTGGGGAAAAAATTAATATTTTCGCATAATCCTTCTTCTGATTTAGCATACAGTTTAGAATAAAATCTTCTAATTTCTTGTATGATATCTTTTTCATCATCAGTTATATTTCCATCTACTTGTAATTCTTTAATAGCACTTTTTTTCTCTTTGAAATCTATTAGTTGCTTAAAATATGCCGTTTCTCTTTCTCCACTTTCAAACCATTGGGCTCGAGATCTGATTTTTACCCCTTCACTTATATAACCGTAAAGATTTTTCAATTCCTTTCTTTTCTTTTCCAAATCGTTAATCAAAGAATTGTCATTCACCTTCGCTGGTATTTGTAATTCTTCCTCTAACTTTGAAATTTCTTTTTCCAAACCAACAATCTTATCCTTTCTTTCTTTGGCTTTTTTCTTACAGTATTTTCTTGTAAAACTTCGTATCTCCATTTTAACATAATCCCATAATATTCTATTATCTATTATCTCTTTGGATAGATTGAGTTTCAACCGTGTTATTTCTTCTTTCATACTTTTCACATAATCTGCATCGTTACATAAACTGTTATTAAATTTCCAATATCCTGCTTTTATTACAGGATTAGTAGAAGAATGTAGTTTAATAATCAGTTCTACTGCTGAGTGGTCCGGTGAAATTGAAGTTAATATTTTGCAGCTAAATACCATATCTTCTATGCTCTCCGAAATAACCCAGTAGTCCAATCTACTATGCATTTTAGGATTCTGTTGGTGATATGTAAATTGTTTCTTTAAATTATTTTTGACACGCCATATGTCTGTGGCATTATAGTCAATTAAAAACTTTTCAAATTCATAGCTAAGCTTAGACTGTTTTTTATTAACATTATGTCCACTGTAATCTAAATGTACATCTCTAACCATATTAAAATCCCCTCCAATAATGAGAGGTTTATTTTTGAATTCATCTTTTTCCAAAATATTTCTAACTTTGCCCAGAAACTCCAATTGTTCCAACTCTTTGCTCCCAACAGGGAAGTAAACATTTCCGAATATTACCTCCTTATTCTGCAGAAAACCAACTGCAAAAATGTATCTGCCATTTTCATCGATAACTGTGTGTCGTATCTTAATATTTACTCCACTATCAAATAGTATCATAACCCCTTTACCATGATTAGTACCGTGGCTGTATATACATTCGCCTTCCCACATCGAATTCCAAGTATTAACTATATCTTGTGTGCTAAAGGTTTCCTGTAAAAAAATAATATTCCCACCTTTTTCTTTGCACCATTTGAAAATGCTTCTTCTTTTATTTTTCTCCCGAATACCTTTTACATTTAAGGATATCAAATTGCAGACGGAAATTTTAGTGTTACTCATCATGTGCGTGTTGAGTATATAATATAGGTGGATGAGAGATGGAAAGGTTGTTGCCCACATTCAAGCCATATAAAACTAACCAGATCAAAGGCTGCCACAAACTGTCCCCATTGAAAAAAAAAGAAGAATACATTAAACATTTACGTAACATATAACACACACAATAAAACCTATGTAGAAAAGACATGTCTACAAATAAAGTTGCACCTATTTCTCCTCCGCTTACAACCACCGCCTCACACCCCCCCCCCCCCCCCCCCCAGCTTCTATCCTTTCTACTACCTTCTTTATACAATCATTCCAATACCGGCTACATGCATGCGCTTCATTAAACCTAAACATCTTTGTATGCAGTAACCACTTCTGTAAATGAATGTCAATGAGCATCTATGTGTTTGACCAGCACAATGAACTCTTTCCTTTTTCTCTATATGAAGAAACCAAAACAATCATTAAAACATCTAGTATGGAGTAACCAATTTTATAAATGAATGTCAATGCATGCGTGCACTTCATTAAATCTAAACATCTTAGACTAAACTATCCTATTCCATCCCGGGCATTCTTTAATCGTCTAAAGAATCATTAGACCTTGGCATTCTTTAATCGTCTAAAGAATCATTAGACCTTGGTATGAAGTAACCACACCTATGAATGTATGTCACTATGCCTACTAGTACTTCGACCATCACAATGAACTCTTTTTTCTT